CAGCAGGGCTGAGGGCACTGCCTGCAGGCGGCAAGTGAAGAGCCAGACAGAGAGACCTTAAAGGCAGTCTGGGCTTGGAAGAGAGCTGAGAGCTCACTGGTGGAGAAATCTTCCCAGTCCTTAACACAGTCAGTCTCTGGCTGAAGGGCAGTGTAGGTGAGTAGCCTGCAATTACCTGACAGAGCTGGCTGGTGTGAGGAGAAGTATGTGCTCCTCAGCAGGGATTCCCTTCTGCATGGTCACAGGGACAGGGCACCACAGCTGCCTCCTCCTGGCTGCAGGGCTGTGAATTCTGGTGTGCAGCCAGGGGTGCCCGGGGCTGTCCTTCAGAGCAGGGTCGCTGCAACCCATGGGGGCTGTGTGCTGGGGCAGGGCCTGCGTCCTGCCAGGGCCAGCACTCATCCTGCCTGGGGAGCTCCTCATGGTGTTGTAGGGAGAAGCTCTTGGCAGAAGGAATGACCTCAGGCAGGGAAGGGGAGCATCTTCTGCTGTAGAGGAGGACCTGCATGGCTACTCTCCACTCCAAACCACCCCGAGGACATTTGCAGAGGGTCCTTCTGAAGGACATTGAGGCACCGTTCACCTGATAGGCAAGGATTCTGTGCTTTCAGATTTTCCCGCTCTTGGTTGACTGGGTGGGCAGTGGGAGACTGGGGCAATGGGCACAAACTGAAGCATAGGAAGTTCCAGCTGAACATCAAGAAGAGCTGCTTCACTTTGAGGGTGATGGTGCCCTGTAACAGGTTGCCCAGAGTGGTTATGGAGTCTCCTTCTCTGGAGATATTTAAAACCTGCCTGGATGTGGTCCTGTGCAACCTGCTTCAGGTGACCCTGATTTTGCAGAGGGGTAGGACAAGATGATCTCCATAGGTCCTTTCCAACCCCTGCTGTTCTGTGACTCTGTGGTTCTGTGAGATGCGAATTTATTTCTCTGTTTTGGAGAAGGCACTGAGACCCCAGTTCTCGTGAGCACTTGTCTGAGCTGCTCCTTACCCCTCCCAAACACAGAGGTGTCCCTGGCCAGTGCCCCGCTGCCAGGAGATGTCTGCAGGGCAGAGCTGAGCACACTGCCGGTGAGTTGGGTTCTGTGAGCATTGACAGGGAGGAGTCCCAGGGACACAGAAACAGCTCCCACAAGGGACAGCGCCCGGCAGCAGAGACACGGGCAGGGAGTAAGAGGGAGCTGCTACCAGAAATGTCGTGGCAAGGGGGATTCGAGCACCTCCCTGCCATCCTTTGCATCTCCCAATGCAACCTGACGTCTCCTCTGCTACCCAGCAGAGACTCTGCCTGCAAAGCCATGAGGTTCCGGTTATGAGTCACCGCCCCGCCAGCTGGACCTCCAGGTGAAAGATTCCTGGACTGTGGGACACAAAAAAAGATGCTTAAAAGCACTTGCCCTACAGTGTCATCATCGCAGTGGCAGCGAGGACAGTTGCATAAGGAGAAGGCTTCACAGCAAGTCCATATGCCTTTCTGTCCTCACTCATTCTTTCTGGAGCAGTGCAGTGTTCTTCCCTGTTTCTGCACTTGTCTGTGGTGCTCTTGCTCTCTGGGGCAGGGCTGGGGATGTGGGTCAGTTTTTGTTTTGACATCGATGCTGAGGGTCCTGACCCAGAGAATTCATCATGGACAGCAGGTGCCCAAGCTGCACTTCAAACTCTGATGAACAATGCCACGCAATTGGTAGCAAAAGAGAATGAGCTGACTCATTCATCATTCTGCTAAGTGAGGGGGGTTTCTATGCATAATGGCAAGTTTTTTTCCAAGGAGAATTCTCCCATAAACTGTCATTGTCTTTTCCTTCTTTGATAGGTCCCCATGCCCAGAAGTGGTAAATGCCCAACAGCAGCTCCATCACACAGTTCCTCCTCCTGGCATTTGCAGACACACAGGACCTGCAGCTCTTGCACTTCTGGCTCTTCCTGGCCATCTACCTGGCTGCCCTCCTTGGAAACGGCCTCATCATCACCACCATAGTCTGCGACCACCGCCTCCACACCCCCATGTACTTCTTCCTCCTCAACCTCTCGGTCCTTGATGTGGGCTCCACCTCCACCACTCTGCCCAAAGCCATGGCCAATTCCCTCTGGGACACCAGGGCTATCTCCTATGCAGGATGTGCTGCACAAGACTTTCTGTTTACCTTTTTCATTTCAGCAGACTATTTTCTTCTCACCATCATGGCCTATGACTGCTACGTTGCCATTTGGAAACCCCTGCACTATGGGACAGTCCTGGGCAGCAGAGCTTGTGTCCACATGGCAGCAGCTGCCTGGGGCAGTGGGGTTCTCACTGCTGTGCTGCACACTGCCAATATGTTTTCCATACCTTTCTGCCAAGGCAATGGTGTGGACCAGTTCTTCTGTGAAATCCCCCAGATCCTCAAGCTCTGCTGCTCGTACTCCTACATCAGGGAAGTCTGGCTTACCATTTTTATTGCTTTTGTATTTTGGTGCTGTTTTGTTTTCATTGTGCTGTCCTATGTGCAGATCTTCAGGGCCGTACTGAGGATCCCCTCTGAGCAGGGACGGCAGAAAGCCTTTTCCACTTGCCTCCCTCATCTGGCTGTGGTCTCCCTGGTTATCAGCACTGGTACATTTGCTTACCTGAATCTCTCCTCCATCTCTTACCCATCCTTGGATCTGATGGTGTCATTCCTCTACTCGGTGGTTCCTCCAGCAGTGAACCCCCTCATCTACAGCATGAGGAATCAGCAGCTGAAGGAGTCCATCAAGAAAGTTATTTCAAGAATGCTGCTCAATTGCCATACATTTTCCATCACTCTGCAGGAATGACTCCCATGGTGCCCCACCGCAGGCCTGACCTTCGTTTGCTGTTTTGTCAGTTTTTGTCATTAGCTCTATTGTTAATCATTCTTACTATTTTCTTGCATAAATGTCTGAATCCATCTTCATTCTGTTGAGGAATGAACCTGCTGTAACCTGGACGTAATATGCAGTTGTGTGTTTAAGTGGGACAGAGCTTTGCCTCCCTCATCTGGCTGTGGTCTCCCTGGTTATCAGCACTGGTACATTTGCTTACCTGAATCTCTCCTCCATCTCTTACCCATCCTTGGATCTGATGGTGTCATTCCTCTACTCGGTGGTTCCTCAAGCAATGAACCCGCTCATCTAGGAATCAGCAGCTGAAGGAGTCCATCAAGAAAGTTATTTCAAGAATGCTGCTCAATTGCCATACATTTTCCATCACTCTGCAGGAATGACTCCCATGGTGCCCCACCGCAGGCCTGACCTTCGTTTGCTGTTTTGTCAGTTTTTGTCATTAGCTCTATTGTTAATCATTCTTACTATTTTCTTGCATAAATGTCTGAATCCATCTTCATTCTGTTGAGGAATGAACCTGCTGTAACCTGGACGTAATATGCAGTTGTGTGTTTAAGTGGGACAGAGCTGACACTCTCATAACATTTCTGAAATAAAATTAGACCACCCCAGTGCACTGACTGACATTTGGGCTCTTCTTCCAAGGGCTGATGCCAGCAACAGGCCCAATGAATTTCAACCCCAAAGAGCCTACTTCTCCTTGGAGCTATAATAGTAAAGCTTGTGGTCCCATTGGAAGCTGGTTGAGACCAAGGGTTGGAATCTGAACTCACCCATTGCTGCATGGTGACTGTCAGTGAGGTACATACCCAGGGCTTTCTCAGATAAGACACTGCAGAAGAAATTCTCCAGGAAGGTGATCTGGAGCTTCCTGGGAGCCTTAAGGTTTTATGGGGACAATATCTGCCTGGACTAAGTGCTGACTGAAACCCCGCTAAGTGAGAGATCACCCAAGGTGGAGTCACCCAAATGGAAGGTGCAAAATAGCAGTATCTGCAAGGAGAAAAAGATGGACATACTTGACAACACACAGACCAACTCCAACAGGGAACAGCACCTTTGCAGCCACCATACCAACAACAAAGCACACGCAACCATGGAGCACACAACAGTCCCCATCCTGCTCCCTTCTCAGTCTGATATGGTGTGAGGGTCATGAGTGGCCTCATCATGCTTTGCAGCATTTACCCATGGGCACACACCCCCATGATCCCTCCAGTGTGGGTCTGAGTTTTGGGTCTGCCCTGGTATCCTACCCATTCTTGGAGCCACTACCCTTTTGGCAACTTGAACCTTGGGTGTCTCCACATCCTGGTGTCCTCCTCTTCCAGCCAGCCCCACGTGGATTTGGCCAGTAACGCATTTACGTACATTCATGTGCACACACACGTGCGCACACACTAATAAGCGTGTTCACACAGCCAATAGCCAGAAGCAAAAATTTAATTAGCAGGCAGGACACACACAGGGTTTGGACAGCTCAGCCCTGAGCAGCCCCTTCCACACTGCAGCTGGCCCCTTGCATCCCTCTCCTCTCCCCATCCACAGGCTTCTTCCTCCCACTCCACCTGGATCTCTCCCTTTCTCTTCTGCAGTCCCCTCCCCAGTTAACAACTCTCACCAATTATGTTTTCCCCAATGGTCTCTGGTTTGTTCCACTGGTACCACCATTTGATAGTTGAGTCACCTGGGCCTTAAATGGCATCACTACTGGGTTCCCCTGGCACCACTAGCCTTGTAAAAATTAACAACCCAGAAACTCCGCAGTGCTCACCTCCAGTTATCCCTGCAGTATGGCCACTTCTCAGGTCCCTGCTCTTCAACCACTCGTGAGACCCAGCCAGGACACATGGTGCTGCCTGTACTTCTAGTCTGATGTGGGAAATTGACAATTAGTTCGAGTTTGCTATAGCTTTAGTTTGATTTCGTTACATAAATTTGCGTCTATGTTAAGGTAAGAGTTAAACATTGTTCTTCAGTTTCGTTCTGCTCTTTGTAATCTTGCTAACAAGGACTGTTGTGGCTCAAATGTAGCTAACAAGGACTGCTTGCGAGACAGATGAAGAGAAACAAGGACTGATAACCAGAACTTTGTTGTCTGTAAGAAGCAACTCTCTAGCTGAAATGGCTTCTATGGTTTGGGACTCAGCCAACACAGACAACTCAGGAATTTTTGAGCCAAAGGTGAAAGCGCACAGCAAGGAAGACTACAAGGCTTCATCCAGAAGACCCCCACAGACGACCACCAGACGACACTGCGCAAGTGCCAAAGGGGGATGGAGTATGATAATGAATTCCTAGAAATAATTACAATAGTCCAGCCTACTTAGATAAGCTTTGTAATAAATAGGTGCATGGTTCATGACTCGGTGTGCAAATTAGGAGGAGCGATCCCCCTTGCACCTGGCGCCGCAATAAACATACCTGCTTTATAACTCTCTGAGTTGTGAAGTTTGATTCCGCACGTCACATCCTCTTTCTATTCACAGTCCTCAGCCAGCTGTAGTTCCTTATGTTTCCACTTAGTGTAATGCCTAACAAACCAGCTTTATGTCTGTAAAAATGATGACTGGTAATGTAATAGCTTTATAACACATCCATTTGTTTGTAGTTCATAATACATCTGAGTAACAATGTTGGGAAGCATTTTGCCACAAAAACAGAACAAGGATTCATGTTTCACTATTCAAATTATTGTGAAGGATTAAAACCTGCTATTGTCTTTATATTGCAGCCATTGCTTTAGCTTATGATGTACCCAGAAACAATGGGGAAAACTGGAGTGTAATTATAATCTATGAGTGACAGCAAATGCCATGTATACAGGAGTTACATCTTGCTGTATATTGAAAGGCATATCCGCTACTTCTTCCTAGAGAAATAAGTTTGAGCCAACACAGCCACCGAAGAAAGCGCTAAATACTATTCCATTTCACGCATCATTAACAGACACATTAAATAACTTCAGCACCAGAATCTACAGTCTTCCTGCTGCCCTCAACCCCAGGATGAGCAAAACTTGATGTTTTCATTCCAGCTCTGGTATGTAGGGGTTAGTAAGCAGAAAAAATACAAGCGCACACCACAAATTCGATTAACAGTTTCTTCAGGATTAGGACTGTTCACTCAATAGAAAGGTGATATGGTAGGTATGATGTGTAGTGATCATATTTGCTGTGGGGTGAGTACACCTCTGCACCTTCTGCCTTGGATAAGGTATTAGTGCTGTCGGTTTAATCAGACTGTATTCCTTAACTAGCAAGGGAGGAGGACAGGGAAAGTTCCTGCCAGATACTCTAGGAGAGCAAAACATTAACTGAATAATGAGAGGTAAACAAAGCGGAGAGACAGTGAAAAAGAGCCTTTTAGGCTGTATTTTGGCTCACTGGAAGGATATAGGAGGACCACTAGGCAGGAGAGTGAACAAAAGGACCTTAATAAAGTATTGTAATCAGTGATGGCTGTGGTATAAATTAGATGATGAGGAAAAGAGCCCTCTAATGGAACCCTGAATTGTAATACTTTATTGCAATTGATGTTATTTTTGAGAAGAAAAAAGAAGTGGGATAAAGTTTCGTATGCAGCCGGTAACTATTTCTCGGTGCTTGAAGTATAGAAGTTTGGTTAAGAGTTGGAGCTGTCGGTGTTAAAAGGATTTGTTGAAGTGCAAAGTTGGTTTGTCGTACGTTGATTAAGGGACAGAGAGGCAGACGTGGTAAATAATGGGGATTTCACAAAGCAGAGAGATACAGAAGAAAAGCCCTTTGGGCTGTATTTTATATAAAATAAGGAAGAAGAACAAGGAAGTTGAAAGGACGTTGCTCAGCGTGTATTATAGGGCAGAGATGTACTACGTTGGATAAAATGAAAGATCCTGGCGGGATCATGTATCTGACCGGCCAGAACATTACTCATTGGGCCGTCAGCAAGTGATGCAGAAACTGAGAGC